GCTGCGTCGTACGACGCTGTCTGAGTTGGCCTTTAGACATATTCGGTTAAACACAGGGTTCTTCACGACTACTGCTGTTTCTCGATTAAAATTTTCATAAACCTAGTTGATCTTTGAATTTAAAACAGTACCAGGTATATATTGAGAATCCAAATAGATATTGTAATAACGTCAAAACAAGCATATATTAGGGGCTATAATTTACTATACCGTAGCTAAGTCAAATCATAGCATCTGCATCATACCATCCAATAAAAAATTATAACTTAATAATTTTAATTTTGAATAATAAGAATCTTTAATATTTTAAATTTTTATCTTTTTAATTTTGCCCCTGCAAGTGTCTAATATATTGCCTGATTATTTAAGGGGGTCCGTTCCATATGACTGCATACTGTATGCGATACGCTAGTCAGTTCTCTTGCTTCCCCTTCCCTAAGGGGCAGACACAACATTTAAACTCAGTTGACCCAAACACGATAGGTGTGATGTGAACAAATTTTGAAATATGGTATCTCCTGATACCCAGAAATAGCAGCTAGCAACTATAAAGCAATTTCTACCACATTTGGGCAGATGAATGTAGGTAAGAATGGCCCCGGAAAATGGCCCCAGGAAAAATGGCCCCGGAAAAAAATGGCCCCGGAAAAAAATGGCCCCGGAAAAAATGGCCCCGGGAAAAAATGGCCCCGGAAAAAAATGGCCCCATATGACAGGTAGGTAAATATGGCCCCAATGAAAAATTCCGTAATAGAAATGATATATATTTTTTTTTATTTTCAAATATTTAAATACTGTATAAGCAAGAATTGAATCAAGAAATAAAAAATGGCCCTCAATTATAAAATTAAAGAAAAAAAATTAATAATAAATAAATAAATAAATGCTGTAAAATACCCTGTAGCAAAAATTTAATTAATAAATCAACATAAAGAATATGCATATTTGAGAACTAAAATAAATTAGTTTTTAGCTCCTATGAGTAGCTCTGGGAGTAGGTCTAAGTATTTTTTTTAATTATTAATATTATTAGATATTATTACTATATTTGCGGTCAATTATCAATATTATTATTATTATTATTAATGGCTCTGATGGGAGGCTCTGAAAAACATTGATTCGGCCCCAGTTTTGAACGACGAACTTGCAGGGAATGTTATAAACCATTTTCGTGAAATTTGAAATAAAAATTTCCAATAAGGTGGCGACTACCAACTATGGGGACATTCAGAGGCCTAGCATTTCGCGGTACGTACTACAGTCATGGATAACATCAACAATAAATCTAAATTGCTAACGAGCACAAACATTTTAAAACGAAAAAAAAAAAACAAGAAATGTTTATATTGAAAACAAGTCCAAGTAATAAATATCTATTTTTTTTAAGAATTGGAACCTATGGATGGCCAGAAATGACACTCTCAAGACTGTGACGGGCATGTCATATTTTTATTTTTTTATTCAGACGACCTGTCAAATTGGGGGGGGGGGTCCTGATGTGGTTTGGGATGTATGTAATTTTGTAATCTAATACACTGTGATTGTGTAAGTGACAACTAAGTACAATTAAATTGGTCATTTTTTTTTTAAAAGATTTTTTATTGGTTGAGAATCTATGCTGTAGCCAATAAATAAAAGCCTTTTGTTTTGAAATGCCATATAAAAAAACATGTCTAAAAGTCCAGGTGTTATTTATCTCTTGTTTATTTGGGAATAATCATCTATTTTATGGAATAAATACAGAGTTCCTTCATTATATTAAAGTTTAGGTTTGTTTATTTAGTTTTGTAATCAGAAACTACAGTTACACCTTATTTTACGGGAACCTTAATTTGTTTATTTGTTATTTCATTTGTTTTATGAAATGACAATAATAATAATAATAATAATAATAATAATAATAATAATATTAATAATAATAATAATGGCAATAATTTGTTACAATACTGTAACTTACAAAGCAACTTTTAAAAAATAGTAATATTGCATGCGTTAAAAAAGATGCTGTTAAATTAGTATTAGAAACTTTTTAGTAGGAATACATATATACAGTACAGTAAAATGTACAATAGTCAGCGAGTTCGTCAAACAAGGTATAAAAAATGTCTCGCCTTGGGTAGCATCTTTTTAAAGAAAATAATTAATTTCATAAAAAAAAAAAAGTTACTGATTGATTAAATAATTCTATTTTAAATAAGAAATGATTATGCACAGTTAAGATAACATAGGACAACATTTAAAAGATCATTATATTAGTGCTACTGAAACTGTTAATTATTTCAAGGTATTATCTAAGTGCAAATCCAAGTTTGACTGAATTAAAGAAATGCTTTGGATCAAAGAACTGAAATCTACACTTAACAAACAAACTGATTCAGTCAAAGCCAAACTGTTTATCTAGTTAATCTGCTGAGAAGGGCTAATTATTGCTTAGCTCCACTGTGGCTCCACACAGTAGGCCCTATTGATATGTAAATTAATTACTGTCACTGCTTGGTATTTTTGTTTTTAGTTTTTTCAATTTACTTAATCTTGAGAATGGTTCCATGATGGACCCGAAACGTCGATCTTTCTTGTCATTAAATTTTGTTTTGAGATTATGTTCTTAATTGATTTAATAAATAAAAGCCACAAATAATAATTTGATTTACTAAATTTCATTATGTAAAAATAGTTATGCTTTAACATAGATTAAAAATATGTTACGAATTTAGTTTTGGAAAAGAACCCACTCTTTTGTGAAATTAAGAGGTTTATAGGTAAAAATTGTAAATTTAGAAATATGTTTTTTATTTTTTCCTTTGAACTGAGATCAATATGTGATTTTTTTAAATTTCTTTAAAAGCATTTGTTTTTTAACAATTACAGCAGATGCAAATAATGTTTAGAGAGATAATCGAAAAACAATGGCCATTAAATAACATTTTTTGATAGTAGAAATAAAAGTTTTAAAAACTTTATTTCACTAACAAAGTAGAGGAATGACATACAGTAAACAGTACTTCAACTACCAAAATATGCAACTCATAGAAAACCACAACTTCACTTTTGTTAAATATCAAATGAATTAACTTTACATGTTATAAACAATGCAAATAAACAGTAGTTAAAGCATGTGGATCAATTGTGTGTTTGAATCTCAAGTTCATGTATGGGAAAAGGGAAAGTCTTACTTTCTCGCAAAATGAGCAATACATTTTCTGCTTAGAGTTTATTCAAAGAAGTATTGCTTTTAGTAAACTGAATCATTAGGAATACACTTATTGAAGCAACTAATTTAGTTGCATACTTGGTTTTTACTCGTCACTAACTAAATCCAAGTGCCTACTACTGGCTTAGAATTATATATAGTTATGTATGGCAATTATGCTAAGAATTAAAATGGCGTGTGATTGTGAGGGTAGGGTGATTATGGTAGGATTAATTGGTATTGCTAAATCCCACAAACCTCCCAAAACACACTGTAGAAAATTAAACAATTCAATTGTAATTGACTGACTTGGTATATCAATTAGAAAATTAAATACATTCATAACTATTTTTTGGTTAAAATTTAGATTTTTTATGAAAAAATACTTGCAAATACACCACAAACCTCTAAACACACTGCAAACCCCATCTAAACCTTATAATTATGATCGTAGAACTCTCTTTTTCTTAAAAAAAAAATAATAATAATTTGATGTTCATACTAACCCACTGTTTGTTGGGTTTACCAATACACAGATTGAATTTTTGGAAAATTGTGATTTCGCTTCCGTGAAATCGGCCACAAGTAAATTATTTTAGTATTAATAAATGCATGAATATGTTGATTTATTGATTATGTTGTTGCCATTTTTTAACATTTAAATAAAAAAAAATGTGTAATTCATGGCTTTTTATTTATCTTTGAATATTTTATCATTGAATATTAATTCTTGCAAAAGTAACATGTAAATGGTAATTTGTTTGATGTTAGATTCCTTTTAAAAACTAAATTATTTAAGATAAAAAAATGCAAATATTGAATCAAGAAAATCAACTTTTAATACAAAATTTTATTATTGGGGCCATTTTTACCTACCTGTCATATGGGGCCATTTTTACAGGGGTCATTTTTACCGGGGCCATTTTTTCCGTGGCCATTTTTTGCGGGGCCATTCTTACCGTACACTACCAAAAATGTTAGTTAATCCACGGCAGTCCTACATATATCTACCGTTGAGCCGTAACATAATTGCATTTGACAGAGTGGCCACTCTGGTTTTACTGCCCAAAGCCGAAGCCAAGATTGCCATGGGATTGGGCGGTGTTGTAAAAATAAACCAACTGAGGATCTGGGATCGCTAGAATCAACTGTGCCAAGGGGAAGAGCCCGTCAATTGGCTCCACAGGTTTACCAGCTCTTATTTTGGAGTTCGGCCCATTATTTCCAAATTTCGCTCACATCGACATCCCCATGGTTTTGACCGAGGTGGGTATAGACTATCTCTATGCTAATTTGTGGCTGCCCCTTGAGGGACTCGTAGTGGCTCTGTAGGTTTCCACCAGCTATATCCGGACATCCAGAGGTGCCAACATATGTGGGACCCAACTGATTTTAAATCCTGCAGCGTGGATAGAGGTAGCAGGAGTTTAACTGCCAAGTTTGTTAAGCCCCCTCTGGCTGTTATACTGCGCTCTTTCATTAAGACCTGGGTAATTTATGCAGTGCATTTCAACAATTTACAGGGATCTTCTTGATTTACGAAATTACATTACGGACGAAAAGTTATGGGGACAACCCACCTCCGATGACCCATGGTTTGCTCCCACCATGAGTAGTCGGCCAAATTATAGGCTTGAGTCACTCAGCAGAGGACACGACTGTCCTCTCGGAGGGCCCCGCGGAACCTGTTACGCCACTGATTCTGTCATTTTGTCAGCTTCATAGTTCTCTCACGAAATTCATGAAATACAGAATACAATACAAACCAATTATGCATCGCTCAATGAGAAATACAAAGAAATATACTAACCTCTTATCGATGAAAATATTAACACTATAGATATTGATTGCCAGATAAAATTCATCGTTCTACAATTTATTTTTTACACTTGTTTCTTCATTGTGAACTTCAAAGCAACTGAACGATAATCTTGATAAACTATTAAATATAATGACATCACAAAGCTGCATTATAGATTTTGCCTATCATTATTTTCTTGAAAACTTATTTATAACCACACTGTGACCCCTGTTCTGAGTAATGGACTATCTGGAGGATGTAATTATAATCAATATTTAATGTAATACTTAAAAAACCTGTTCAATAAAATTGTTTTGATTGGATTGTATTCACTATTGTAGGCGTACTCCAGCATAGCTTACCATCTAACATTTTATTTTCTTTAAACACAATGGTTCTTCCTTATTTATCGTACTGTAATTTGGTATTGGGTACTGTAACAAACAAACACCAACAATTATGTCCATGGGTTAGGACAGCAACAACAAAATTAGACCAACTCTTTAAATTACAGAACAAAACACTTTGCATTTGCTCCAAGTCTAATTCTTTATCACATACTAAACAACTTTTTTTTTACATGTAAAACTTTAAATATTTTTGACATTAATAGGCTTCAAACTGCGATATTTATGCATAGATACGCTAATAACTACCTCCCAGAATCATTTACAAAATACTTTAAGAAACATGGTGAATTACACAATTCTAATGATTACATTTTTTTCAAATGCCAGACAAATTTTTGCCGTAATTTTGTTAATTTTAATTGACTAAAGTGATTCTCTTGATCAAAATCTTAAAACTGCACCATCTGTTTTAAATTTTTAATCAAACTACAAAAAACATCTAATATCAAATTACGCTGCGTCTTAATAATTATATAAATAAAAAGACCGTTAAGTGAATAATTTGAAATGTGTAGCAACTACTGTTTTTTTTTTTTTTTTTTTTTTTTTTTTTTTTTTTTTTTTTTTTTTTTAAAATTTTTTTTTATTTTTTTTTAGTTTATGTAATTATAATTAGTATTTAATGTAATACTTAAAATAACCTGTTCAATAAAGTTGTTTTCATTGGATTGTATTCACTATTATGGAAATAATCTGGTTTTGCTAATAAATTACTGTCATTGACTGTCATTAAAGCAAGAAGAAATATTAATTAAAGTGATAATTCAATCAAAACAGATAAGAGGATAAAATATTAAGATATTGCCTACATACATTAATGAACATGACTTTTTTCATTCAAATTATTATTAAAGGGAACTATTTAATTAAAAGTAATTTTTAAAGTAAGTATGGACAAGTCCTTTTAGAATATAAACTATTAAAGAAATATTATTTTTAAAAAAGCGTTATTAGTGTATTTAAACTTTACTACAAATTTTACAATTGAATTTCTATAGTTTGGAATATTAATTAAAGTGACAATTCAATCAAAACAGATAAAAGGATAAAATATTAAGATATTGCCTACATACATTAATGAACATGACTTTTTTCATTCAAATTATTATTAAAGGGAACTATTTAATTGAAAGTAATTTTTAAAGTAAGTATGGACAAGTCCTTTTAGAATATAAACTATTAAAGAAATATTATTTTAAAAAAAGCGTTATTAGTGTATTTAAACTTTACTACAAATTTTACAATTGAATTTCTATAGTTTGGAAAGTTTTCATTAAAATTGCAAACTTTAAGCAAAGTGACTGCTGAAATATGCAATGTTTATAATATCCTCAGCATGTTGTCAAAAAAAATTAAATGAATTAGAGGCGTATAATAAAAAGTTACAATATCAACTATCCTATGGTAAAGCTTGATAAAAAGAAGCCCACCCAACATTGTCCATTCCACTGCCCACCCAAAATTGACAATTGTAGGGGGGTGCGTGAGGGTCCACCTCACTACCCCCCACCATGGTTGGGGCTGAGGGAATAGACAATTTTGAGAATATGGACCTCTCAGAACGTTGATCCAGAGTTTTAGCTCGGTTTTCCAGAATCGGTCACCCTATTGCCGACAGTCGTGATAGTTGCAGTTCACAGACGAAACGGGTGCCTTTCCGATTGCGCAGGGCAGTTATCAATGCACCCTGATTCGTTGAACAAGGTTCAACCTTCCCGGCAACTGTCGCCGATAGGGTGAGCGATTTTATGGAAACCGAGCTTTACCCAGACTATCGCACATAATGGGTTCCCTGAGTGGGCGGGGTCATGGGAAGAAAATGTAATTGATTGTTCCGTCGCTGGAAGATTATTTTAGATGTGGGGTTGGGGGTGGTTTGCAGTAGTCTGGTGTTCTCCTAGCTTAGCAAATTTTTGTTTTGTCTAGATGCAACTTCTTCTTCTTCTTCTTCTTCTTCTTCTTCTTCTTCTTCTTCTTCTTCTTCTTCTTTTTCTTCTTCTTCTTCTTCTTCTTCTTCTTCTTCTTCTTCTTCTTCTTCTTCTTCTTCTTCTTCTTCTTCTTCTTCTTCTTCTTCTTCTTCTTCTTCTTCTTCTTCTTCTTCTTCTTCTTCTTCTTCTTCTTCTTCTTCTTCTTCTTCTTCTTCTTCTTCTTCTTCTTCTTCTTCTTCTTCTTCTTCTTCTTCTTCTTCTTCTTCTTCTTCTTCTTCTTCTTCTTCTTCTTCTTCTTCTTCTTCTTCTTCTTCTTCTTCTTCTTCTTCTTCTTCTTCTTCTTCTTCTTCTTCTTCTTCTTCTTCTTCTTCTTCTTCTTCTTCTTCTTCTTCTTCTTCTTCTTCTTCTTCTTCTTCTTCTTCTTCTTCTTCTTCTTCTTCTTCTTCTTCTTCTTCTTCTTCTTCTTCTTCTTCTTCTTCTTCTTCTTCTTCTTCTTCTTCTTCTTCTTCTTCTTCTTCTTCTTCTTCTTCTTCTTCTTCTTCTTCTTCTTCTTCTTCTTCTTCTTCTTCTTCTTCTTCTTCTTCTTC